TAATTTCTCCCACAATTATAATCGACTATGAAATATTATATAATTAGATTATTCGTGGATTAAACATGTTAATAAAGAACACACCAAGTATTGATGTGATGATCATATCCCAATATATCAAAACAATGTAATAGTTGTTGTGTTAATGTTCCATTATCCAAATACTAAATTCAAATAAAAATCCCATTTCTAGAATAATAAAGTCTTATAGCAGAAGTGTGACCATACATACTTAGCTTAAAAGAAAGACTTTATTAATGGGGTTGACTAAATTTAATTTTTTGTGAATTCTACGAATACTATCATCTTGTCACACCCCGGCTGAGGCGGCGGAACATGTCGGGCTGTGCGAATAAGTTCATGGATCACAGGTAAACTAAATATATAGCACAAGTACAACAATAAAAAAAACAACATTTGTATTCCATCTTGATTTTTGAATACATGTATCTTACAGATAATAGTATAGTACATGAATTCTCTTAAACAGGTAGGCAGACATAACAAAAACTAGTAAACTAGATTACCTGAAATCCATGACTATCCGTCGTCTGATATGCTTGATTATTGATTCCATGAGAATACATGTAGTTTTGAGGGTCAACACAAGGTTGGTGAGAGTTACATGTTTTCTACTAACAACAGTATGATACTTTTAAAAATTCTAAAAAGTATTTTCTTTGTAAGTATAACCCTACTTAAAATTGTGCTTGCAAAGAGTATTTGAATAAACTTTGAAAACCAAAATGTATCTTAGCATAAGTAAATCCATACTTAAATAGTTTTGAAAGCAATCAAGCCCATGGTTTGTAGTAAGAGAGATAGATTCTAGTTAATGTTTATAGTGAGTCCTATAACTGAGCTATGTGACTGAATGTACCCCCTACAACGCTTGATTGTACGTCGTGGTACAGATAGTAGATACTTATCACCCGCTTCGATCGATCGGTCGAGGTTGTAGCTAGTAACCGTAGGTGGGGATGTCAATCTCATATAGATCTATACATACATATCTCGCTCCGAAGATTAACGATTATAGTAGTGTGGGTATGCTAAGTGTTTAGAGTTAGCTAATGAATATAGTCTCACTAAAAAACCCTTACGAAGGTATGTGGATATCTTTTAGCCCTAACTTATAAGTGGATAAGTTACTAGGAATAATGAATTGTATAGAGTTTATAAAAGCCGAGTATATCTGGTATGTACGTATAATATAAGGTACTCGCCTTTATAAAGAGGTACGTCTCAAAGTAATGATCATAAGTACATGTATAAACTTTATGTATTTGAACACATATATACATGCATGGTAAGAGTTTGATCTTTGAAATGCTACAAAGTTTTATGACATACTTTTTATGACATACAATGCTACACAAAATCATAGGGTTTTGTAGTAAAATGGCATATGTTATTTTTATTAGTTGTATCATTTAACAACACAACATATCATTTTATAGTTTTCACATGAAATGATAACATTTTATGTGTGTTTTTGCATAAACTATCATATGTAAGCACATGTATTCTCCCCCAAAGCATATAGAAACATAAAAGAGGGGCCATAACACTCACTTTAATGTGTGATTGTAGGTTTATTTCGAGAAATGTGACGTGAGAAAGCGCAACTTGACACTTGTAAAACGAACCATCAGGACTATTTTTGTTACCTATTTAATCAAATTAAGGTTCTGGTATTATTTAACAAGTGTGGGGCTGATTTGTTAAAATAATCAAACGAAGGGGCTATTTTGATTAAAACGTATTAAATCTTAGGAAGGGACTCATTTATTTAACATAAACCAAAGGAGGGGCTAAAATGGTTTATTTTAAATCAAAGTTTGGGATTGACTTGTTTTGTAGTGAATTCGAGGGGGGGGGGGGGGGCTAAAGTAATTAAATGGAAATGAAGTTTGGGAGGTGTTTCCTCCTCCTCATGTTTATGTGCGCATGCACACATGGAACAAAAAATGGTTTCCGGTCTTGATCAATTATGAATCGAAGGAATCACGAGGAACAAAAAATGGTGGTGGTGGATACTCACGGTGGCAACAACAAGCAGGAGGAGGCAGCAGTGGGCGGTGGATGATAGAAGTGGGTGGTCCAACGATGGTAGTGGGTGGCTCCGCTGCTTCCGTTGCCTCGTTTCTCTTCTTCTGCCGTCAGTAGACGTCGAAGAAGTGGGGATGTTGGTTGGCAAATAGCAAGGGGAAATGTTGGTGGGTGGTTGCTGATTGTCATAGGTGCAATGTGGAGGTGGCGAGGTTGTTTCCGGCAACTTTGCTTCCTCCTGTTGCATTTCTGCTTTCGAGAACGAGGGATGGGGAAAGGATGGAGGTGGAGGGAGGGAGGAGGGAGTGTTTGGGTGGTGTTTACTTGCCAAAACTGTGAGGAGGAGGGTGGTGAAGTGGTGGTTTCTTGGTGATGTTATGGTGGCTATTGGTGGTGTTGTGGTGGCTATTGGTGGTGTTTTCTAAACCAATAAAGAGATGTGGAAATGGGAGATAGAGCTGGTGAATTTGAGTGATGAATTGAAGAACTAACACCCTCTATTTATAGTGTTGAAGGGCCTCTCTAAGCATGCAACACCCATACTTTGTAAATGAATCAAACACACCATGTAAGCCATACCTTGTACCTTTAGAGAAGAAGTGTAAGAAAGAAGGGGGGAAGTAGAAGGTCACGTGGGAAGGTTAATAAGAGCCAAAATCAAATTCTTTTTATCTCTTGCATGCATATGTGGGCCCAATGATTTCATGTTTGGCAAAGAGTCCCAAAAACAACATTAGTTTTGTGTATCAAGATCCCAACATCAATTTTTTTTTCGAAAGTGTCGTATGATAAAGCAGAGTTCAAGGATTCGAAAAACCCGAGTGGATTAATTTTTTGAGTTGTAGAACTCCGGGAAATCACGTTTAAAGCTTAGCGTTTAAATGACCCGAAACGCTCGATTTTTCGACGCATTAATTAGGGTTGCAGTTTGAGCTGTTTGATTCGTTTGACAGTTTATACATTTGGAAGTAAGATACCATCTAGTATATTATAATAGTTGAAATGACGTCATTTAATTTACAAAAGATGCACTAAAACTCAATGAGTCAAATTACAAAGAGATCCATTGTGAATTGATTGTTTATAGTTTTAGACCTAAATTTCGGGATGTCACACATCTCCATATTTGACTTTACTCTAGGTATAGTTAAATATATTGGAAAATATGATTGGTGTTCTTTATTGATATAGTTTCTCTTAGCTTGATTATGTATACTCTCTAAGTCATAAAGATTTCTATGCGATCCTTGAATGGAAAAAATCAACATAGTTTTTCAATGAACCCATTCATCCAATCATATTTGATTTCAGCTTCTAAAGTAGTAGTGTATTCTTATTTAGTAGATTGTATGATTATGTTTTTCTTGGACCTCATTCCAATAAAACTTATGCTTCATTCCATAATGAAGTGATAATCCTATTATAATTCATAATTATACATATCCTTTTTGAAGTCAACATTTTATGTAGCTCTTTACATAAAGATCTTTTTCTAAAATGATTATCTTATGTACATTTTCTTATATCTTCTTAAGTAATCCTAGAATCTTCTTATAGTCATCCAGTGACTTAACCATGTATTCACTTTGTATCTCATGATATGTTCATAATATATTCATATACCTAGTCTTGTGCATAGTATGACATAAATGATGGATTCATTTGCCAACCAAATAGAATATAAATCATTTCATCTTGCTCAAACCTATGTGCTAGGTCCTTTTGATACAGACTCAAAAACTGTGTCATATGACAATGCTAAGAAACTGATGGGTTTTGAGCACTATAACATCCCTATGGTGCACATACAACCCTAATTCTTTGGATCTAAGTTTTCTCTAGTTATACATGCAATTTTATTTTCCAAAGCATGAAGCCTAACTAGCATACACCATTGATATTTGAAACAAAAAAATGAGTTAGATGATTACCTCTTTGTTGTAGCTTGTAGAACTTGGTCTTACAAGAACTTAGAACCTCAAATGTGATGCCTCAAATAAGTCACAAGACACCAAGAACAAATGGAGGATTATGAGAGAGGTTTAGGAGGCACCAAAATCGTCTATGCTCTTCTTAGAATACTTGTGTATCGATTTTAGGGGATTAGGAGTTACATATATAGTGTATAATTCCAAGGGTCACTTGTAAAACCTAATCCATTCACTTAGGCTTTTTGATCCAATACTTCATTTGGACTAACACTTCATGGACTCTCACATAAGCTTAGTCCATCGAATTTTTAACCATATAAGTGTTTTTGAAAAAAAATATTTTACCCAATGGGTATACTTTTAAACATATTTACTATAATGGGTTTTTTTTGGTAATTCAGTAAAAAAAGAAAAAACCACCGTGCCCTAACTCATTGTTTCAGAACGACGTTTTTACCCGTAGGAAGAGACGCGCTCTTCGGCCAGACCTTCTTCTCCGGCTAGACCTTCTTCTCCGGCGACTCCGACGATTCCACTGCAGCCGACGACTCCACTACAACCGACGACTCAAAGGTAATCAGAGGTTGCGGCTTCACAGGTAAGAAACACTCTTCAATCAGTTCAATTTTTTGAACTTAAATCTTCAATCACAGGTTCGATAATCAGTTAAAGAAACGATTCTATTGCACCTTAATGTTCGATTTCTGTATTTTTTTCGATTTCCATCACATGTTCGATTTTTTGAACCTTAATCTTCAATAGCCGATTGTTTATCTGTTTTGTTGTTGTTACTGAAACTTTTGATTACAAATGTAATAGATTCCACCACAGTTAGGATTTATTGTCTACATTTGTGAGTATTTGAGATTTTCTATGAATGCAATTAGATTCCATTCCATCACAGTGAACGGAATTGCAGTGAATGAAATTAGATTTGCTTGAATTAAATTAGATTTGCTTGAAAATTTGAGTTTTAGTTTCTGTTCTGATTGTTTGTTATGTTATATTTTTTGGTAGATGGATGCTAATGTCATATCAGACATTGTTCAAAATGAGAATTTCTATACAATCTCTCAAGTTGCTGTGGCGAGCAATGCAATAACAAATGATAATGAAGCTGATGCAAATGAAGCATTTGAAGAAGATGGCATAGGAGAAGAAGATGATGAAGACGCTTTTGACAACAACTTTCAAGTTCCTTCAACTTTAACTATTATAGAAGAAATGAATATGACCACCGACAACAATTGGATTGTGACACAATTAGAGAGCAAAAATGATTTTACACAAGAGTTAGGGAAAGATTATTTCAAGGATAAAGAAGAACTTATTAGAGCTATAAAGCTTTATAGTATTAGGACACATAAACAGTTTGAGGTTGTTGAGACACGTCTAACTCTATGGACCATAAGATGCAAGTTACATCTACAATCCGGTTGCAAATGGCAAGTTCGTGCAATCAAACGAAAACGAAGTGTATATTTTGAAATTACAAAGTACACGGGTCCACATACTTGTTTACACAACAATATTTCGCAAGACCATCCAAATCTAGATGGAAGTTTGATATCCCAGGAAACCAAACATCTTATTAAAGAGCAACCTTCAATTAGTATTCCTGCTTTGAGAGCCGAAATGGTCGATACATTAGGTTATATTCCTTCATACAAAAAGGTTTGGACCGGAAAACAGAAAGCGATTGAACAAATGTTTGGCAATTGGGAAGAATCTTATTCTGCTTTACCCAAATTTCTATGCGCAGTTCAAAAGTTCAATCCGGGGACTATATTCGAGTGGTTAGTTTCGAGCTCAACCAATGAAGAACCCATGGAATTTAGACGTGCTTTTGGGCTTTTGCCCCTTCTATTAAGGGGTTTGTACATTGTCGGCCAGTGATTAGCATTGATGGCACACATTTGTATGGTAAGTACAAGGGAACGTCATTTTATCAACAATTTTTATGAGAAGTTTCGTAATTCAGAATTAAAAGGTCTAGCTTATCGTGCCGGGAGTCAAAATCAAGTTCGAAAATTCAACTCGACCATGGAAGAAATTGGGAAGCTAAATCCACAAGCTAGACAATGGCTAGAGAGTCATCCACTTGATAGATGGACACGTGCATATGATGGTGGGAGGAGATATGGGTGCTCACAACAAATTTGTCGGAGATTTTTAATAGTGTCCTTAAAGGTTCCCGTTTTTTACTAATCACGGGGTGTGTCCAACTTACTTTTTATAGATTGGTGCATTACTTTGAGGTGAGACGCCCTTTAGGAAATAGTTCACGGGCTAATGGAGATGCATATACCCCTCATGTTCTTGTCAAACAAGTAGCTTTGATGTCAAAAGCAAGTGCACATTCCTTGAGATCTTTTAATCGAGAGAAATGTATATTTGAGTTGATAACTCAAAGAGGAAGAAATATGCAAGTAGTTAATTTGGAGCAAAAAACTTGCACATGTGGTAAGTGGGAAGTGTTTAAATATCCTTGTTCTCATGTCTTGAGTGCATGTGCCACACTTTCTTTGAATAGTTGGCAATATGTTGATAAATGTTACAAAATTATAAAATATTGTGATACTTGGGCTTCCGAATTTTCCCCACTTCCTCATGAAACGTATTGGCCACAATCTTTGTTTAAAGAATTGCTTCCAAATTTTGAGCTCTTACGGAATAAAAAAAGGTCGTCCCCGCTCAACAAGACTTCGAAATGGAATGAACATTAAAGAAGGAAGAAAAGCAAACCTTTGTGGAATTTGTAAGCAAAGTGGTCACAATCGAAAAAAATGTCCGTCTAAACCAAGGTAAATTAAGACATTCAATATTTTTTCATTCGTATAACTTTATATCTTATTTTTTATATCTTATTTTTTTTTTTGCAGATAGTGGTTATCGAATCAAAGTTATTTGGAATGTTTCTTATTTTCTTTTGTATTTTGTAACAAACGATTGTTGGGTTTGTACTTAAAATATTTTAGTGTTAGATGATGTTTGTTGGTTTAAATTTAAAAAGTTGTTGGTTGATCTAAATTTTAAAAGTTGTTCCTTGGTTTTTATAAGAAGATTTGTTAGTTATAGTGATGTTTGTAAAAAGCAATTAATAAACATTAAAAGCAAGGAAAAGTAAAAAAACTAAAAATAAAATTATATTAAATAAAAAAAATTAGTTACAGTGAAGTATAGAATACATATAAAGTGGCTTTAATTTGTGGTGCATGTCCTCGTAGGAAAGAAGGAAAAGGAAAGGATCACATGTTTTAAAAAATAAAATAAAATAGTAAATAACCCTATATGGTAAATATGTTTAAAAGTATACCTATTGGGTAAATAAGTTTTTCAAAAATACCTATATGGTAAAAAACTCTTAGTCCATCACTAATCAATCATGGATCATTAGCCCAAACTATATGTATCACTGATTTACATAATCATCCCCTGTTAATTTAATCAGTCTCTTTTGATCACTAAATTAATTACAAATTAATTCTTGATCAATACCAATTAAATAATATAATTTCTCAATTAATATATTATTTCTATAATATATTAATAAATCATACATAACCTCTTTCTCAAATATGCTTCCTATCAAATTGTTCCGGTGAATGCAACCCAAATGGATCATGCTAGTATCGGGTCAAGTACATACCAATTATAGTTAAGGGCTTAGACACCTAATCCAACAGTCTTCCACTTGGATAAGTCTAATAACTATAACTGCAAATACGACTTCAAAAAATCAACTAGCAATCGTAGCTCTCAAAAGCCGCTGTCAACTCTGATCAATAACGCATCCTTTAGATAAGGGATCAAATATTCCTCCATTCTACAAGATATCCTATAGACATGAGATATGGATTATAATCATTATCTCTGTCCAAGTTCTGTTTCCCGATTTCCGATTTATGATGACTGACTAATTGAACAAATCAAATCAGTCCAGGATTTTCCAAACGCTTAGGTTGGTCATCACTAAATCATCGAGAGTCCCACAAATATCGCTTTTATCCCATATTGGGTAAAAGGAACGGATAAACTTTGACTCATATGCTTGCTTAATTTACTCATCAAATCACACACAACAATACGTTTTATAACACCAAGTTACTGGTGCGTTTACGTATCATCAATGTGCAACCGACTTGTAAACTACAACTCATATGTCTCCATTTCAAGAATATAAGATATTATCGTCTCACAATCACTCGTGATAAAATCCATGAAGTGATTCATGTGAGCATGGGTTTAATCTAATACTCAAATCTTATTACAGGAGTACTCATGAACACTGCAGCAAACTTGTGCTATGTCTAAACACTTAGGCAATCTACAGTCGGATTCATGACAGCCTTACCTCATTACTGTTGGATTAGGTGTTTAAGCCCATAACTATAATTGGTATGTACTTGTCCCGAGAGTAGCATGATCCATTTGGGTTACATATCATCAGGACAATTTGTTAGGATGGACTTTTGAGAAGAGGTTATTTATGGTTTAT